TACATCAGATCTAATTTTGGCTGTGATTATTATTTTTCAGAGAGTCGTATTCTTAAAGCAATTGGAATCTGGTCTTCTTCTAGTTACAGGTGAATAATCTGTTATTAAAGTTTTTTTTTCTTTTAAAGAAATACTGTAGTATATGTGGGAATTAATGAACAATCAATTAATAATAGAGTTAATAAGATTTCGATTCAATAGCACAGCGCAGTCGTGACGTCATAAARACAAAGACAAAGGCGAAATTCGGACAAACAAACTTACAAGTTTATTTTCAGCAGATTATTTTCACAGCCGATCGCAGTTGATATTAGTTTACATGGGTTATTATTGTAACTTTAAGTAAAAATAATAAAATCGCTTCGTATAATCCTCGTAACGGTTAAACAGAATGCAATGTTTGTCCGAATCTTTAAGCTATTTTTAGAATCAGTGCGCTGCGCTATTGGTGARTAAGCTTTTCCCAGACTTTGATCAGCCTAGAGATTGTTTCATCATATTGATAAAATTGAAGGCCTAAAAGTTTATTTTTATTCATTCAAAATTTCCAGGACCCTACAAAGTAAATGGTGTTCCCTTAAGAAGAGTTGCTCAAACATACGTCATAGCAACATCAACCCTTCTTGACATCAGTAAGGTTACTTTACCTGACAACCTTAATGACGATTACTTCAAACGGGAGCCCAAGAAGAAGAAGAGATCTGAAGATATGTTTGAAGATACTGAGGAAGTATGTAGCATTTTCTTTGAATAGATATTCCATATCTTTTGGTTAATTTTCCTTCATCATTCTCAAGGCAATGTACCATCCAACTTTTTATGATTTTGTTGAGTGAATAAAGAATTACATTGCGAAGGTTACATAAGAGTGAGCATATAAACCTTTGACAAAGGATTGAAACTAACTACTGTGAAAAGCTTTGTGTGTACTCTGGGTAATGACTTGAAATGGTTGTGAAAATGAGATAAAATTGTGCTGCAACAAAATTTCAAGACAGGTTTTTGGTGTGCTCGACTGTGGAATTTCTCATGTTATATCCCAGCATTTCACTCCCCAAATTGTTAGTTGTAATTAACATTGATTATCAATGGGGTCGTCCTTCACGAATTTGCAAGATGTGATCCTATTGGAGGGCACACATGTCAGACTAATACTGATGAAATGCTCATAATTGGTTATATTTCTAGGACAGAAAAGTGAGCGACAAGCGTATTGAGGACCAAAAGACAGTAGACGATCAAGTACTACCTTTAATCTCCAACGTTGCGCACATGAAGAAGTATCTTAAGACTCTTTTCTCTCTGCGAAAGGGCCAATACCCACATGAAATGAAGTTCTGAGCAAGCCAGACACTATTAAATCAATAAAAACTTGTGCATAATCTTGCTTGTTCTTTATTTGTTTCAAATGACTCTTGATATAAAACTAACCCTTGTTCTCAATGCAGCTCAATAGACCTCTTTGGCTCTGACGTAATGTTTTCCCATTTCAGACGTCATTCCCTAGAGTACCATTTCTTTGTTTAAGGTTTGCACTTGGTTGCAAATGAGAAGAGACATGAATATGGATACAACTCAAACAAAGAATCTTATTCTCAAGGGAATGACACTTGGCCTGAAATAGGAAAGCATTACACCAAGCCAAAGATATCTATTTAGAGCCTTGAGAAAACATGATAAAGAATTTTATTATATAGTCCAGCTTTTGAAATTGCTGCTAGGGTTTCATAGGAATTCTCTAGTTCTATATTGTATTGGTTAGCAAAAGTAACAAAAACATTTACGCAGCACCAGCAAAGTTGTACAACTTGGCAATTCTACTTCTAGTGTCACTTCACAACAAAGAAAAAACAGCAAAGTATTAGTAGTTATATGCAACTTGCATCATTTGTGTAGAGAATATATTCCTGAAAAAGTTAACTAACAAAATTGTACAAATGAGTACAACTGTTCACTCTTGTGTATTCATGTTTATTTCCTCGCCAAATTTCCTATTGATAGATACTTCGGGCAACTAGATTGCCTAATTGGAATGGAATTATGCACTAATGCTTTGGCTAGAACATTTTCTTGTGTAATTCACACACCCAAGTGCAGAAGGATTTAATTGCTGTAATAAAGTAGACCTATGCTTTCCTATCTTACCTGGCAAAGTTTACTGACAAGACTATTTACAKTGTACTGCACTTGGATCATTATATGCATGCAAAGGACTAGTGGGTGGTGCCATGAAGACTTCTGGGTACTATTGCACTACTAAAATGCCTGTAGGCCATCTTGTTTGCATAGTGAACATTGCTGTCCCTGTAACCGTGCCTTGACCACCTTCCCATAAATTTTGGACAAGAAACTCAACACCAAATGGACTTAATTTATTTACAATCTTAAAGTAAAATATTTTCAAGTGGTATCTGTTTTCTCCTCTGACCCTATGAACTGATCATTAAAGTCTTCTTTACTTATTTTCCCTGTTTTGAGCTTCTTAACTAAGCGTGCTTCTGCAGCTAATTCATCAAGATCATTCTCATCAAACTTGTGCTTCTGCTTCTTTTTGAATTCTTGTCTTGCCTTCCTCTTTGCTCTTCTAATACTCCTCTCTTTATTCTTAGACCATGAAGATTCATTCCCTAATTTTCGTTTTCTATTTTGTTTAGTTTTTGGATCCCCATCTTTCAGGGACTCTAACTTTGTTTGTCGTTGTCGTTCCCGAATTTTTTCAAGATACGGAATTTGGTCAAAGTCTATATCTGTAGCGGTGAAGCCTTCGATTGAGACATCTTTTAGTTCTGGCATTTTGGGTAATCTTAGAAGCCCAAATCCTTCTGCTAATCGTCCAAGATCTAAATCTAAAAAAGTAATCATAATAAATTATGAAATGATGAAAAGTTAACGACAAAACAATATAAATCAGTCATTGACGAGAAGTCTGTAAATTGGATACAGAATCATCCTCATTCAACTTTAACATGGATTTTTTCAGTCAAACTCACTCCAGTCTCATTTTTTTTAGTAGAACATGAAATGATACACCTAGACTTTTGATAGACAATATACGATAATTCAGGTCCAATCTCTAGCTATGGGCTTTACACTGGCACACCATACAGGTTGGCTGCTCATATATATTACTGATAAAACAATACCTGGTCCTAACAAAACAACAACATTGGACTTGAATGTTCTTCATAAACTAGCCCTTACCTTTGAATCTGAAGATCAAACTACACTCATGTTTTCTATATGACTGAACAAAAGAAACAAATGCTTTGGTTCCCTTTTCAAATAAATCCCTGCAAGAACAAACAAACAAACAAACAAAGCATTTAAGACAAGCTAAGTATGACTAAGCAACAGTAGCGTAGTGAGGGGGGCACATGCCCCCAAATTTTTAAACAACTTTTTTGAAACAAAAAACAAAAAAACAAAACATTAAACACTAACAAATTTTAATTTGCATGTAGAGTCAAGAAATCAAACCAGAGACCCCAGACCTTTGAATCCCATTCATGGGAACTTCATAAAACACACATAGAATGAATAGACCTCCATCATAAACCCTCCCCACCCTTGAAAAGTCTCCCTTTGGCAACCCAAATCAAATTTTCAGTAGCAAAATCCAAGATACCTATCTTTTGTAGCCAACCTCTTAAGCTTTGGTATAAGGTTAGGGAAATCTGTATTGAATTCAAGTTTCTTTAGGGGTACCTGCAAGTGAAGTTGTGAAAATAATTATTTACTAGTAAAGGTTACATTTCTTCCATGTTACAAAATTCGGCAATTCTTTTGGCAAGAATGAGAAAACATTAAAGGGATAGTAAAAATATATGGATTCACAAAACTGTCTTTTGAAATATTTCTGGATGTTAAGACTGGCTTGCAAAGTCTCACAACTATCTAGCATGTTAATCCCTCTCATTTTTCCTTTCTTCCTTCCTTTCTTCCTTCCTTCCTTTTTTCTATCGCCAATGATTCCCACAGTGGAACACAAAGTAGGGAAAATCAAAATAGATTTTTACCTTTTGATTTATTGATATAAATTCAACATACGAGTCTTCTTGAGGAAGGAGAAAAACAACAGCATTTCCTATTAAAAAACAAAAACCATATGAGCAAACTAATATAGACCCCATGCAGCACGTCAGAATGCAGTTCAATTTATTTGGAGTATATAACAATAGGTTTCCAATTCTCAATGAGATTGAAATTCTTTCGGTTTGCCCTCCAAATTGAGCTGCTTTGATGTCACATGCAAGGGGTCTATTAACAAGCTGTCACCCAGTTTATCAAGCAGAAAACAGGCAAGATCCCAAAGGTGCTTACAGTACCTTCATTTCCTATCCTGGCTGTTCTTCCACATCTATGTACAAAGGCACTAGCAGCAAAACCATATTATATTTATTAGTATAGTCATAATAAATTATCTGTATCAATTAACTTTGTTTATTTTTAATTTAGTGGCCATATCCAGAATCCTGCTTCAGTTGTGCTTTACAAGGGAAGTCTGCGTGAAAATTAATTATTAGTACTTTTCACCATAAGCACCATCATTACCACCATCACCACTAGCATCATCATGATCATCATGATCATCATTACCATCATCACTACCACCATCATCTTCTTCACCATCATCTTCTTCACCATTATCACCATCACCATCACCACCATCATCATCATCTTCACCATTATCACCATCATCATCATCACCACCACCACCACCACCACCATCACCATCTTTACCATTATCACCATCATCATCATCACCACCATCATCATCTTCACCAATATCACCATCATCATCATCACCACCATCATCATCACCACCACCACCACCACCATCATCTTCTTCTTCACCATTATCACCATCACCATCACCACCATCATCATCATCTTCACCATTATCACCATCATCATCATCACCACCATCATGATCATGATCATCATCATCATCACCACCACCACCACCACCATCATCATCTTTACCATTATCACCATCATCATCATCACCACCATCAGCATCATCATCATCACCACAACATCTTCACCATTACCATTGCTTTGCTATGCACAACCTGCACCACTTGTTTATCACATACTTTGCACTGCTTGGAGGGTCATATTGTATGACCCAGTTGACTTCTGGGATATCAACCCCTCTTGCCATTACATCAGTACAGACAAGAACACCACTGGAATGACAAATCACAGTAAGTAAAGGAAACTTCATTACATGAGTACTATACTTCGTTGCAAAATTGGGTTAGCTCAAGAAAATGTTCTGGAAATGGAAATAAATTATTACCAAAGTGTGTAGTGGACAGCTAGTGCGACTGCCAAGGGAGAGGGGAAATAGTTTGGGGAAATAATCCATACCTACTTCAAGAAGAGAAAATTTCAAAGAGGTGAGGCAAGTCTTGAGGAATGATACAGTGTACTAGATACACTCCCTACCCCCTTTCCTAAGGTGTGGTGAGGAGAGGTCTAAAGATAGAAGAGCGTGGTCTAACTTTATTCTTATTCTTTTGAGCAAAGGATGAATTTTTGAAAGTACACATTCATGGTATGATAAAATTGGAGACAATATTTAATGTTTTGATAATAATTATTACCTTTCTAGTTTTCTAAACTTGTCAAATATTTTGTGTCTGTTGGATTTCATCTGTCCATGAAGAGCCATCATAGTTACACTGGGAATAAACCTTAAACAGAAAAAAAAATCATTTTAAAAACTGTAGTCTACATTATTAGATTTGCAAAAGATACTTCACACCATGGAAGAGAATCAACAAAATCAACATACTATGAAAGCCAAACGCTACTGGCTGAAGATGAAATCAAAGGTCGTGCCCTGACTCATATTATTATCAGCCCAAAGGGGTTGTTTCTGGGTTTGATGTGTGAGTTAGCCATGCCTTGACTTATATTAGGCCAGAGAAGATGTGTCAGTCATTCTTACTTACTTAGCCAAAGCTTTAGAAAAATAGTTAACACAAGCACACGTACTGAAGAAAACCATGTGTTTTTGATCCTACATTGAAAAAAATTTTTAAAAATTAATATACACTGTAGTAGTATAGGGAATGGGGGTTCCAGCGCAATCTCAACACGGGCAAGATCCGCGTCAAAAATCCACCTACGGACGACCCCCACTCCAAGTGTGGTTGAGGGCAACAGCGCACTTAAATATGTTAGTCTATATATGGAGTGCAAAGAATGTAAGAGAACTTTTAAGAAAGAAGTGGATTTGAAAAAGCATTTGAAAATGAAGACGAAGTGTATGAGCAGTTATGATTGTGGATGTGGTAAGAAGTTTGAGACTAAGGTTAAATTGTTTT